ACAACTGTAATGTCTGAGAGCATGGGGCAAAACAGAACCACAGGTCCTCACTGACTGGACAAGCACACACACTCATTTATATCATTTCTCAATAACTACTTCCAGTTGGACCAGCTTCTACATATATCACACAGACACATGTTACAGCATGAGTGCATGTTTTTAACATATAAGTGTAACAATATTTGAATCCTTTAATCACCCATCAGATCTTCATTTCTGGATCATCCATTCAACCAAGTCATTGACAGCACTGCTCTGATACAAAGTCATAGTAGTATATGCACCCTGCTCTCTGCCTTCCTTCCTATTTTAAAACAGTTTGTTTTCTTGTCCACAGTTAAAGTGTTTCAGGAAATTGCGTCTATTTTAATCAGTGAAGTGTAAAATAGCTGAGCTGAGGTAATAGACTGACTTTTCATCTGAATCATTACTGACTGAAATTAAGGTCCTAATACTGAATAAAAGATTAAAAAACAATGAACCCGTGTAATAATACTGACAATAGAATAAAGTCAATTCAAAGTTGCTCTGTTATCACTTATTGGTAGTGATTGTTTGGCCACATGACAGCAGTATTTATTTTTTTATTTAAAAAAGAAACCCAACAATCTTCACCCTCCAGGGCCAGTTTAGTATTACCAATTAATCAAACTCCATGCAGGTCTTTGGACTGTTTGAAGAAACCCTGAGAAACAACCCAGTGAGAACCACCACAGACACGGAGAGAACATGCAGACTCCTCACAGAAAGGGATAAAACAGCAGGTGGATTCAAATCCTGGAACCAGAATAAACCAGGAAATAAATGAATGTGTGTTCTTCGTCTTTCAGAGGTGGATTGTTTTTGATTTCCTGATTTTGAACCTGTACGATGGTGGTAGGTGGTACAGCCCGTCACCTACTAACCTGGAGGTTGGTGGTTTGATCCCCGTCCGCTCCATCAGAGTATGAATGTTAGATAGGAATCTCTTACATGGAGAAAGAACCTAGAGAAAATATGCTTGGGTGAAAGAGGCAAATTCGAGTACTCAGAGTACAATAAGAACTGGTCCATTTCCCATTTACACACCAAACTGTCACCCAGGTTACAATCAGAGCAGCCCCTTCCTCCAGAGGATGTTTTGATGGCCAACCCTCATTTGTGAAGTCCATCAGTATGTTTCTGCCTGTTCAGTCTGTGCCCAGACCAAGTCATTGACCTCACCACCTGCTGGTTTACTGGTCCAGACAGCTGCGGTCTGCGGTCCTACATCATGGTAGATTTCCTCACTAGCATCCAGGTAAAGCCTCCATACTAACTATTGCAAACTGTTTTTCCAAGGCTGTGTATTTTGTTTCTCTCCCTAAGCTTCCTTCAGCCTTAGAGACCTCTCAGCTTTTCACAGATCACGTCTTCATGTTACACATGACAGAATCTCCACAAAAACTTTCCTTTGCTTCCTGCGAACTCACAAGAAGTAAAGAAAGCAGCAGCACTTCTGTAAAGCAGCTCAGACAAGCAGCATCAGGAGATTCTCCAGCTATAACCTAATGCACGGAGGGGAGGCTTATGTGACAGCAAGGGAAGTCAGGTGACCGGAAGCTGCAACATGCTCAGACAACACCTACTACTTACATATGACCAACTAATGTGATTGGCCAGTAATTAGCAGTGAAATATTAAATAAAATATTCATTCTGTTAGAGTCTGACACACAAAGTAAAC